TGGGGGGGGGCGCGAAGTTCCCATGCAGAAGTTCCCACGCAGCCCACGGCGCGAGGGGAGGCGAGGCAGGGTCCCGGGGAGGGGAGATTCCTTGCGAGGAGCACCGCCACTCCCTTCCATAAAGTCGCGTTCGCGGCGCGGAGCGTTTGCTTCCAACCCAGAAGGGCTCGACTCGCGCCCCCCCCCCCCCATTTTTTTGTTTTTATTTGAAGGAAAAGCCTGCGGGCGCTTTGCCCGTCCCGCACCAGGCAGCGTGGAAAGGCGCGGAACGAGAGGCCCCCGGTGGAGCAGCAGGCGAGTGGGGGGGGGAGCGCAGGAGTGTCGGCCGTGTGGGCGTGAGTTTGATTGGCGTGCCTCCCTCGCTGGCCCGGGTGTTTACTGAGCCAGCGCGGAGATCAGGTTTCCCCTCCTGGTCGTCGTCGTCGCCTCCGCCTTCCTCTCCTCCGCCGGAGCCCTCCTCGGCTGCGGCTGGCTCGGAAGGATCAGGGGAGGGCAAGGCAAGGCAAGGCGGGGGAGAAAGTCGGGCCTCCTCGCTTCCCTCTTTTTCCATCGGCGGAGCTTCAATGCCAGTCTGTTTGCATGATTGGAATTCTTTCTTTTTTTCCCCCTTCTTTTTTTCTTTTAATTTCAATTCCCCTTCAACATGTTCTTGAACCTGTGCCCTGACCGAACTTGATAGGGCTTGCCTCTCCTTTTTGGTTAGCTTACACCATCTGTCAGCTGTGAGTAATTCATCATCATATATATGGATGTGGTTTCTTTCCCCCTCTCTATTAGCTCAGCTCTAGGGCTTATCAGGGCGACTCCCTTTTGTTTTCTTTCCCAAGGGAAATGTGGCAAAGCTCCCATCTTGGGATTCTTGTGAGTCCAAGATGGGACCATGAGAGCAAAGCCCACTTTGGTCTTTACTTCTGAGTAGACGCGGGTTGGAAATTGGTGGTGGGAAGTGAGAAAGGTCTGCCAGCCTCCCGCCCCCCCCCGTAAAAAAAATCAGGGTTGCCAGCCTTTTCTGATAGGCTTTCCTACCTGAAAAGCAGAAACTAAAGAAAAGCTTTTCCTGTCCATTTGTGTGTCATCTGTTGTATGTCTTTCCTTTAGATTAGTTTTGTATCCTAAAAAAATAGTTTTGCTGGAAAAAAAATTAATTCAAATGTTATAAGAAACCACTTAAATCAGTGGCACTAAGATGTAGGGGTATTTGATTTAGCACATATTTTAGTAATTTCAATCAAAGTTGGTTCCCTACCCTTACATTTCTGAAACAAAGCAGGAACCGATGTCCTGTTGGTACTTGCAACTAAGAGTAGACCCACTGAATCAATTGCTGAAGGGTAAGCCCATTTCAATAAAGTCCTTTGTGTTAACTAATACAGTATACTTGAGCTCTAGTTGGGAGCAGTAGTTGGTTGGTTGCCATAGCTTTGGTACATGAGACCAAATGGCAAGTTCTAGACATATTTCTGGAAGCTCTGGGTTTCCTTAGGAAGATAGGATACTGTATTAGGAAGTTAGTAGAAGCTCACTGTTTGAGGTGGATGGCTTTCTAGAGAGCTCAGACTAGCGGGAAACTAGATGGTACTAGAGGCAAGTCATGATTGTTTACAAGACTCTGCCCTAATGTTTTAATAACAAACTTAAAACATTTCAGATTGTATTGTACAGCTTCTGGCACAGCTTGCCTATATACCTCATCAGAATAGTGACAGCCCTCTAGCAAGACTTCTTCGTTTGCAAGGGAAAATAGTATTGGCAAACCATCTCTGAGGACACCTACTAAATATGGGATTTGGGAGCAATGTGGATAAAGATCGATGATTTACTATTTTAAATTGTAAAAAAAATGATATGTCTGCTTTAAATCATGATTTAAACATATTTCATTTAAATCAGATCCACTTGGATATTGTATATTATCCTAACACCCCAACAGGGTGGATCTGATTTAAATGAAATTAGGACTTGTGAGATCTGGGGTCGGGTCCATTCTGAGCTACAGAATTCAGCGGGAGGACTTTTGAGATAGTCACTTTCTAGGTTCAGGGTTATAGTGAGGACTAGATTGAGGTGGGGTGAGCAAATATATATGCTGCTTTGAGCTCAGTGGAGGAAAGGCAAGATGTAAATGTAAATAATAATAATAATTTAGCTGTCCTATGGTGTGGGTTCCCTGTGATCCTTTCAATTAGGAATTATCCTTAATAGAGGAAGTGGGACTCACCAGGGTGGCTTTTGATTTTGGTGTAGGCCACCAACAGCAGAGTGGAAAGGTGCTGTTTTGATCTGTGGAAGGGTACTGGTAGGTTGGTCTTGGATAAGAAGCAGATTCTTTGGCACTTTATTGAATGTGGTTGCTTCAGTTTTAGAATTTCTGCTTTGGCTCACCAAGAAACCTTAAATCAAGGCAATGCCTCCTAACATTCTAAGATCGTATCCTAAGCAAACCCAAAGCTTCCAGAAATATTTCTATCACTTGCCATTTGGTTGCATGTTGGAGCTTTGCTAGAACCTTTTAATACTGAAATATAAAAGAATTAGAGATAATTTACCAAACAATGCTCTCGTTTAATGAGTAGCTCAGTAGGACTTGTGCAGGGGATGGGGTATAAAATCTTAAGTCTTTGGTTTCAACCCAGGAGTAAAAATAATACAGCCTGTTCATCTTGGTAGTGTAAAATGAAAAGACAATTCATAATATCCATCAGAGTCTGTTCAAATGTTAAGTTTCTTACACTGGTCAAACTAGTTAATTACAACAGCTGGGTGTAGTATGTTTGGTTAATCAGATTAAATGTTTATGGGACTTTATTTGCGCAGTACTTCGAATCATGGAATGATATCACAGGGTTTTTGGTTTTGGTTTGAAATTCTGGTTGAAACCTGTGAAAGTTATGTGGGTAGTCTGATACTTCAGAACAGATTGATTCATGTCTTGTTTTTGTAGGAAAATTTAAATCTATAATTATGGTCCAGTGTACTTCTGTTCCCATTTGCCATAGGTCCAAACTATCCCTAAAAGGTCCTATTTAAATTAGAGGTTGGAGAAGTTACTTTGTTTGACCACAACTTTCAGAATCTAGCAGCCTGGCATTTTCTAAGAATTCTGGGAACCAAAAGAGTGAATTTTACAAACTGTCTTATGAATTAATGTGTGGCTGCTAGTCCTGGCCTTTAGCTTGAAAAGAGAAAAAAATCTTTAGCCACATCTTCATTAGCTGTGGAGCAGTGGACAAATTATGGTGCGTGCCAGGGGGTCTTGTGTATGCAAACACAGTGGCCTGTGTCCTAACAATCTAGCCAAGTTAAGCTTCCTCCAAAGTACAGTAATCCATATTGGAACACGTTCGTATGTCAAAAAGTTCGTAAGTTGAGGCAAACTTTTCTATAGGAATGCATTGAAAACCATTTAATCTGTACCTGCTGTTTTTCATTCTTATGTCGAGGTGCTGTTCTTAAGTTCCTATGGGAACTAATGCAAAGCCGGTTAATCTGTTCTCTACCACTAGGGGGAGAATTTTTGTTTTTTTAAAAAATTCTTCTTTTGACCTAAGACGAACTTAGGTCAAAAAAAGGCAGGAAAGGTTTTTTGTTTGTTTGTTTGCAAGTTGAGGCTCTGCAAGTCGAAGCAACATTTTGCAAACAGAGCCGTTTGTAACTCGAAACATTCGCGAATGGATTTAGGTAGTTTTCTTTGTTCTTCTCCTGCTGGAGGAGAAAGAGAAATTTTGGCTCCTCTGTCTGCACTCAGTCCAGTGTAACTTTGAATTTGGCTAGATTTCTTGATTTCTGTGAATTGAAATGGTAGGGCAATATTTAAGAGTCAATTTTTGTCTTATACACACATTAATATACCTAAGCTGTGACTTTAAGAGGCTTTTCAGCTGAAACAGGGTTATGGTTTTTAGGTAACTGTTACCATATATCCTGTTGACATAGTTAAAAAGTAACTTTACTCCTCCCCACTTCCTGCAGCTGCCTTTGCTCCCCTCCTTTTCATTCTTTTTTTGGGTGAGGTCCTCAAAGAGGCCCTTCTGAAGTGGGAGTGATTTGTTACAGGAGGTTGCAAACAAGTCATCCAAATGCTTTCTCACTTGCAGGTGGTTTGATGTATTTTTTTTATTACACCCATAGCACTTATTTCTTCACTTGTGCAGTGGTTTGAAACTCTCATGTCTTTTCATTAACAAGAATAGTGGAAGAATTAGCATTAGCATGGCTGAAATAATGCTGTTGCTTTTGTGGTGAATTTCTGGTTGTGCTAATAGAGGGTTAGACTGGGATACACATGCTAAATTTTGAATGTGTCATATGTAATTGGTCTATTTTTCATATTTATTTAAATAGGGCACATGTGTGTTACACTTACATTAGTTGAGCTTTTAATCTGTAGGGATCTGATAATGGGCGTGTACTTGACAACCTATATTGCGTCTTCAGGTTAGTTATGTTTCTGATGTTATATCTGTTACTTGGAAGGAGTTTACACTGAGTTGAATGTATTTAAATTTTGAATATATAGGTTATGTGAAAGATAGATTTACCCCCAAGAAAGCCTTGTTGAACACAAGTGGGCATGGAACCCAAGTAAAGGCTTGGCTGTTGGTGTGTTTTTCTCTTTCTCTTGTCATGGTGACAGGGTGCCTGGGGATTTATTTGAATTAAATCCCCACTCTTCTGTTACAACATCCAGACCCAGTATTTCTTATTCTCATGCCGTTTTCCCGCTTAGAGCAGCCTCATAAAGAGCCAGACTTTTCTCCAAAACAAAG